CAATCAAAAATCATCTCTAATTCTGTAATATATCTTCCATTCTATCAAATGAGACCAAGAAACTGTGAATACAACCATGAAAAACCATATGAAAATACAGTGGACCCCCGCATAACGATATTAATCCGTTCCTGAGAGCTCATTGTTATGCGAAAGAATTTTCCCCATAAGAAATAATGGAAATCAAATTAATCCGTGCAAGACACCCAAAAGTATGAAAAAAAAATTTTTACCACATGAAATATACATTTTCCTACACACAAAGAGAAGGATACATGCACAATAGTAGAGTAGTACATGCACAATATATATTGCGCATGTACTACTCTACTATATGAAGAATAAATGACACTTACCTTTATTGAAGATGCAGCAATGACTGATGAGACACTGTGTCCTGGGAGTGCCTTTTCCTCCTGAGTACTGTAGGTCCTGTTTGGCATTTTCTTCCAGAACATGCCTTATCACACTGTGTATGCCACTACGATTCTTAAATCTCTCAAACCATCCTTTGCTGGCTTTAAATTCACCAATATGAGCACTATTTCCTGGCATTTTTCCCTGTTCACCTGGGTGTTAGTCGACTGGTGTGGGTTGCATCCTGGGAGACAAGATTAAGGACCCCAATGGAAATAAGTTAGACAGTCTTCGATGACACTGACTTTTTTGGGTTATCCTGGGTGGCTAACCCTCTGGGGTTAATTGTTTCTTGGTATTCTCAATAAGCCACACCAACAACGGTGCTACAGCAGCAGCAGCAGCAGCAGCTGCTGACAGTGCTACAGCAGCAGTAGATGGTGCTACAGCAGCAGCAGACGGTACTACAGCAGCAGCAGCAGCTGACGGTGGTACAGCAGCAGCAGCAGCTGACAGTGCTACAGCAGCAGCAGCAGCTGACAGTGCTACAGCAGCAGCAGCAGCTGACAGTGCTACAGCAGCAGCAGCAGCAGCTGACAGTGCAGCAGCAGCAGCAGCTGACAGTGCTACAGCAGCAGCAGACGGTGCTACAGCAGCAGCTGACGGTGGTACAGCAGCAGCTGATGGTGCTAAAGCAGCAGCAGCAGCTGACAGTGCTACAGCAGCAGCAGCATCAGCAGTTGACCATGGTACCACAGTATTTCGATAATATTTCTCACCCTTTTTACCACAGGGTTGTCACTAGAAGCTTTCTTGGGGCCCATGGTCACTTATTTTGCAGATAAAATCACCAAAAATGCTGTAATAATACGAAATGCTCCGATTGTATGCTTGGATGTTACCGCGGAGGCTGGCTTGTAAACATTGCCACCAGCGGAACATGTGAGGCTGGCTCAGGCCTCACATAGACGCGTCTCGGACGAATAGTGTTGAGCGAGTTTTTTAGCGCTATGCGAGGCAAAATTTTAGTGATAAAATGTATCGCTATGCGGATTTAACGTTATGTGATGCCAACGGTATGCGGGGGTCCACTGTACACTGCAAAGTCACTGTTTTAAACCAAAAACACAGTCGCAGTTTTTTTCCCTCATCATGCACTGCATGCTGCAGGGTTTCTTTTATATGGTGCACACTTACCACATAAGACCCATTCTCTCATATCTAGGCCCAAATTTACTGCTCATAGCTTATCTGAGTAAGCTGAGTTTGTGGTGTAGAACTACGGCACTGACACTGGCTTCAGAGCCGTAGAACTAAGGCACGGACCCTGAAAGGGTTAAAGTTAGTGCCTTTTCCATGTATCACATTGGACCTTTGAGAAGTGGTTGGTATTTGTATTATCTAACTTGGTCAGGGTTTTAAATATTCACATTAGTTCATCCCTGTGATGCTTCCTTTGACAACCAATAACCCATAACTTCTGTTGCCCTCAGTCCATCCTGGTAAGCAGACTGACTAGTTTCAATAAAGAGTTTTGTTGCTCAGTGTTGAATTTTTTTTCCTCAAGAGATATATCTGCTGTATTATTATAGATGAATATTGTATAATTAAATAATATTAAGTGAAAAGTGTTGATTCTGTGTAAGTTATTCAACACTGCACATGAGTGAAAAGGAAATAGAAGTAGAGAGATTCAAATACTGAGGAGAGGACAAAGACAAAATGAAGGACTTACAGGTGGTGTTACACTTCTTAATTAAGCAATTCACTGTTCTTACCTCCAAAATTAATATTGCTCTCGGTGTCCATGTTTTTCAAAATAATTCTACTGAAATGGTAAAGAATCTTTTCAGGAAGGTAATGACACCAAAAGTAAAAAATTTTAAGGAAAACTTATGCAGGCACAAAGTTAGCAATCTGGGCACAATTTATACATTTGTGATTTTGCCTATCCGAGTCCTATTTTAAGCCAATTTCATTGCTCCTTTTGACCAAATTCTAAGCTATTTTGAAAAAATGAAAAAAAAAAAAAGTGCTAAAAGGATGCAACAAAATACACTTTCTTTACAAATATGGGAGACTACCAGAATGGGATCCAAAAGACATTAGTATATGCTACAACTACTGGAAACTTTATTTTTTTTATGAAAACTAAACACTGTAGCTGGGGCACCAAAAGCATAACTCTACCTGCCACCTGCAAATCAAATCCAAAATATGTAACTTAATTATAACAAATACCTATTTCCATTTCCATTAACATAATATTAGTGTTACGCCAAAATGCGGCTTTGTAAAATATAACTTTCATATTTGTTCATCTATCTCGAGAAGGTCTTCCTTACCTGCTCATTTACTTTGATTAAGAAACTACCTGCAGTATAGCATTATTCTCCAGCAAGTGTGAGTACTTGCAGAAGCTCTCCTGTGTGTAAGAGACCTAGCAGAAGCTCTCCTGTGTTTAAGAGACTTCAATTATTCTGGTCTAATTATAAGTGGTTGAAACTTTGATCATCTCTGGGCATAGAGAGACTATAACTTTATCAATTTTATGTATAAAGACCCATTCAGCCAGAATGGAGGTCATTGTAAACTGTATATAATTTATAAGTCTGTTAAAGTGTTTGTATCTAATTGATAAGTACAGTGGACCCCCGCATAACGATCACCTCCGAATGCGACCAATTATGTAAGTGTATTTATGTAAGTGCGTTTGTACGTGTATGTTTGGGGGTCTGAAATGGACTAATCTACTTCACAATATTTCTTATCGGAACAAATTCGGTCAGTACTGGCACCTGAACATACTTCTGGAGAGAAAAAATATCGTTAACCGGGGGTCCACTGTAAAAGGTACCATTAAAATACCTTAAGATCATACAGTAATATACATTATATTAAAGAGATATTTTATATGAAGTCTTTCAATGTCCTCATCATTTATACTAAAATTGAACTGCACAAAGGATTGAATTATACCATTATATTTAATTTCTTATTATGATTTCCCATGAGTATATTTCATACTGAAGATCCCCTAGACTCATGCCATAAATACTTAACAAATCCTATGGAATATCATAATAATTAGGAATAATAAAAGTGAACATATTCCTGTGTTTATGCTTATGTTAAAAAAAAATTTACTTTGAACATTTGTTGACATGAATATGATGCACTACAGCCTGATTTACGCAACACTGTCTATATATAACCTAGGTAGTAGGTTGGTAAACAGCAACCGCCCAGGGAGGTACTACCGTCCTGCCAAGTGAGTGTAAAATGGAAGCCTGTAGTTGTTTTACATAATTCAATTCAATTCAATTCAATTCAATTCAAAGTTTATTCTCTATAAGGATTACAATGCTGAGTTTACAGAATTTGGTTATTGTGTGGTTTACATGTAGTAAAATAATAATTACAGAGTGTACCACTAGAACACCTAGCATGGCTAGGCATTTCGGGCAGACTTATATTAAATCTTAAGTTTAAAATATTACAAAATTATGAGGTAAGTTGGTATTATGGCTAAGTGACTAAATACTAGTTGTGAGTTTAGCAATGTGAATGCTTTTGTTTTGGCACTATACATAGTTTCAGTATTGGAGTATCACAGGCCAACTTATGACTAGTTAAGATTCATTATTTTGAGATTGAGATTGATATTTCTGTTTATGGTCAAATGGGTGAGTGAGTGTAAGTGTGAACCACCAGGTGGTATTCGTATTATTAGTTGACAGGGTGTATCAGGGAGATAAGATGTTTTCTGATGGTAGTTTTGAAGGTGATGAATGTGTCTGCAGTTTTGGAATTTTCAGGTAGGGTGTTCCAGATTTTAGGGCCTTTGACATACATTGAATTTTTGTAAAGGTTTAGTCGGACATGGGGAATGTCATAGAGATGTCTGTGTCTGGTGTTGTGCCTGTGGGTTCTGTCACAACTATCAAGAAAGCGTTTTAGGTCAAGGTTAATATTGGAATTTAAGGTCCTGTAGATGTAGATTGCACAGTAGTAAGTGTGGATGTACTGAACAGGGAGTAAGTTTAGATCTATGAAGAGTGGGGGGGTGTGTTGCCAGGGATGGGATTTAGTGATTAGTCTTACTGCGGCTTTTTGTTGGGTTATTATTGGCTTTAGGTGTGTTGCTGCAGTTGAACCCCAAGCACAGATAGCATAGGTGAGGTATGGATATATAAGTGAATGGTAGGATTGCTGGTGTCTTTTCTGTCTCAGAAACATGCAAGGTTTCAGGTACATCTTGCTACATCTACTTACACTTAGGTCGCACTACACATACATGTACAAGCATATATATACACACCCCTCTGGGTTTTCTTCTATTTTCTTACTAGTTCTTGTTCTTGTTTATTTCCTCTTATCTCCATGGGGAAGTGGAACAGAATTCTTCCTCTGTAAGCCATGCGTGTTGTAAGAGATGACTAAAATGCCAGGAGCAAGGGGCTAGTAACCCCTTCTCCTGTATAAATTACTAAATTTAAAAAGAGAAACTTTCATTTTTCTTTTTGAGCCACCCTGCCTCGGTGGGATACGGCTGGTTTGCTGAAAGAAAGAAGAAGTCTATAACTAAATATTAAAGCAATATAGATACTTTGGTAACTGAATTATTATATTTTCTCACTTACCTCCAGTATTTAGGAATACACTTGTCGTCTGCTCCTGAACAGCGGTACTGTCCCCGAGTGCAGTTGGCAATGCAAGTTTTGTTGTTTCGCTCTAGGTAGAACTGGTCTGGGCAAGCACAGGTGTATGATACTCCATTTACAGTGGGTGAGAGTAGGCATAAATGCGAGCAGCCACCATTGTTATCACCACAAGGGTTGTCATATGGTAGCTGACGTAGAGGATGGTACATATGTATGTCATATGGTCGGTGAGTGGTGTTACGCAGGAACTGGAGGCCTTCACCAGTAAACTTGTTAGCTTTCAGTATTGCCTTCAAATTCCAGTCTGTCCAGTACATATAATCATCGAACACAGTGATGGCAAAAACATGAGGCACTTTAGCACCACTTATGATCTCATGACGATTTTTACCATCGAGATCTGCATATGCTATGTAATCAAGATGAGCATCAGCCCAATAAATTCTGTCAGTAAAATAGTCAAAAGTGAGGGCATTTGGCCATATCACCTTATCATCAAAGCTAAGAATACGAGAAAAGTTTGACCCATCCATTCCAATACGACCTATGTAGGTTTGAAGATGCCAGTCAGTGAAGTATACATAGCCAATACCAGGATGAATTGCTACTGCTCTTGGATCATTAATTCCACTGGCTTTCAAAGTTTTGCGATTAGTGCCATTAAGTTCTGCTACATCTAGCTGTTTACTATGTCTGTCCAACCAATAAATTTTTCGACCAATCCAATCTACTGCTAGGCCTTCAAGGCCATGACTATCATGCTTAATAATTTCTTCTTTCTCGGTACCATTAATATTACCTCTGTATATAGTCTTTGCAGTAACATCTGCGAAGTACAACATCTCTTCTTTGTTGTCAAAATCTAGAGCAACAACATTTCTAAGATCTTGATGCATTAGCAAATACTGTGAGCCATCAGTAGTCAGCCTTCTCACATAGTATTTATTAGTGAAGAACAACCAAGGAACTGTCTTATCTAGACGTTTGCATGTTTTACCATCTGGTTCTCGTTCATAGTATGTTTCTTCACACTTGCAGTTGTAAGAGCCTGGAGTGTTGAAGCACTTTTGTGAACATACACCAGGGACCTCTGTGCATTCATTCACATCCTCACATGCTTTGCCATCTGGCATTAACCTGTAAAAAAAAAAAAAACATGGATTTTAAAACTGTTGTACATATGTAAAGATACAGAATTTAAATGCATTAAAAGACTTGAGAACATTAAGAACTAACAAAATTGAAAGACAAAAGTTCTTACTTGTATCCTGTGTTACAAGCACATTCAAATCCTATGATGGTATTAATACATTTATGTCCACATTGATGCAGTTCCACCTTGGCACATTCATCAACATTGCAGTGAAGTGGCTCATCAGAATCATCAGAGCATTCACTAACTTTGTTGCACACCAGCTTCATTTCTATGCACTCTCCATTTTTACACTGGAATTGTCCAGGTTCACACTTTTTCCCTGGTGCTGTTGAAAATAAAATAAAATATTTGTTATGATACAGTGAAGAGTATCTCTATATTAAACTATGATAACAATAACCATTTAGGATTGATAAAAAGTATGCTGAATAGTCAATCACTTGCACAGTAAAATTATGTGTAAAACAAAAATAGATTTATTAAATATTAAAGTATGTTATGTGTTACTGCATATTAAATTCCTCATAATAATTTTTTTAATATGCTGGCTGTCTCCCACCAAGGCAGGGTGACCTCAAAAAAAGAACACACTTTAACCATCATTCACACTATCACTGTCTTTGCAGAGGTGCACAGATACAACATTTTAGATGTCATTCTAAACAGCTAATATCCCAAACCCTTCCTAAACAGTGCAGGCATTGTACTTCCCACCTCATGGACTCGAGTCGGCTAACTGGTTTCCCTGAATCACTTCACGAAATATTACCCTGCTCACGCTCAACCCATCAAATCCTAAAAAAATCATTTGTCTCCACTCATTCCTATCTAACATGCTCACAAAAGACTGCTATATGTCAATGCCACTTGCACACAAAACCTCTTTTACCTCCTTCCTAGGACGACCCCAACCCTTCCTTCACTTCTCTACATAACTATACACCCTCCAAATTATCCTATTTTTCTCCATCCTCTCTAAATAACCAAACTACCTCAACAACCCCTCCTCAGCCCCCTGAATAATAGTAACTCCACGCCTCCTCCTAATTTCCACACTACAAATTCTCTGCATAATCTTTACATCACACATTGCCCTTAGACATAATGTCTCCACTGCTACCAGCCTCCTCCTCGCTGCAACATTTACAACCCATGTTTCACACCCATATAAAAGTGTTGGTACCACTATACTCTCATACATTTCCTTTGCCTCCACAACACGACTTATGTCATCTCCCACCCTAATCTTGCCACCCTCAACACCATTGTTAACGAGGAGCTGCTCAAAATATCGACTTGGATGACAGCCAATAAACTTACACTTAACACTGACAAAACCTACTATATTATGTTTGGTAGCAGAGCAGGTGTTGCGCAACTTAACATTAAGATCGACAACACTCTAATTGCCAGACATAAGAGGGCAAATTCCTTGGCCTATACCTCGACAACAACCTAAATTTCAGCACCCATATCCAACACATAACAAAAGAAGTATCCAAAACGGTGGGGATCCTCTCCAAGATACGATACTACGTGCCGCAAACTGCCCTTCTCACACTATACCATTCACTTATATATCCATACCTCACTTATGCTATCTGTGCTTGGGGTTCAACTGCAGCAACACACCTAAAGCCAATAATAACCCAACAAAAAGCCGCAGTAAGAATAATAACTAAATCCCATCCCTGGCAACACCCCCCCCACTCTTCATAGATCTAAACTTACTCCCTGTTCAGAACATCCACACTTACTACTGTACAGTCTATATCTACAGGACCTTAAATTCCAATATTAACCTTGACCTAAAATGCTTTCTTGATAGTTGTGACAGGATCCACAGGCATAACACCAGACACAAACATCTCTACGACATTCACATTCCCTGTGTCCGACTAAACCTTTACAAAAATTCAATGTATTTCAAAGGACCTAAAATCTGGAACACCCTACCTGAAAACTCTAGAACTGCAGACACACTCATAACTTTCAAAACTACAGTTAGAAAACATGTTATCTCCCTGATACACCCTGACAACTAACTACATGATAACCACCTGGTGGTTCACAATTACACTCACTTACCCACTGACTATTAACACAGAAATACTAATCTTAATCTTAAAATAATGAATCCTAACTAGCCATAAGTTTGCCTATGATACTCCAATATAGACACTTTGTGTTGTGCTAAAACAAAAGCAGTCACATTGCTAAACTCACAAATTATAATGTAGTCACCTAGCCTTAATACCATAATCTGTAAGGATTTAATGTTAAGAATTAATCTAAGTCTGCCAGAAATGCCTAGCCATGCTAGGTGTCCTAGTGGCCCCCTCTGTAATAAGTATTTTATAACATGTAAACCACACAATATCCAAATCCGGTAAACCCCACATTGTAACCCTTATAGAGAATAAACGATTGATTTGATTTGTCCCCACAAATATCTCAATGCACCATCTACCTTTTTTCCTTTATCAATTCTATAGTTTACCTCATTCTTCATAAATCCAACCGCCAACAAGTCTACTCCCAAATACGTATATGAACACATTCACTTCTTCCATACTTAATATCCAATTTTTTTTTACCTAACTTGTTTGATACTCTCATCACCTTACTCTTATTTATGTTCACTTTCAACTTTATTCCTATACACAAATATTTTTATTAATTTATTTAATATGAATTTAAAGATAATATTGTATTGTATATTAATGAGTACTATACTATTATTTGAAGCAATATTATGGTACAATTCAGAGTGCAATATAATTTTATTAAGCATGAAATAATATGCATAATAATTTGGCAAAATTTACAGTTGCTTCCATATTGTTATGCATAAACTGAAGGCTGACAAGTTTGAATATTTTTAATAATACTTGATAAGTCGCAGAACCAAAATTTCAGAAAATGTAAATGTATTATAGATTACTGCATTAATAATTACTGATAAGACAAGTCTCATTGTGTATAAATATTAAACATTACAGTTAATGCATAGTGTATTTATAAAGGAATGTTTGACTCACCACATCCAACTTCATCAGAGTTATCACCACAATCATCTTCTCCATCACAATGATAGGTCTTCCGAACACACTTGGCATTAGTACAGTTGAATTCATCAACAGTGCACTCACGATATTTATTATTGCATGCGAGCCCTTCATCAGAACCATCACCACAGTCATTGTCGAAGTCACACTCCCAGTCCTGAAATCAGTAAGATTATTTCAATCTTTCCTATGATGTTACTATTTCACATTACCATTAACTCCAGACTGGAACCCCTTAAGAGAGGTGCCTTGAGGCCAGTGAGGGATTCTTGATCCACGGAATTGGACCTATCCTAGATGCTCTATGACTCTACAGATTTAGCACTTCCATATGATAATGTAATATAATCTAAACCTGAAACACTACTGTATTTTCAATGAATAACCAATATATCCACTAGGTAGCAAACTATCTCTACAAGTGGACTCCTTGTATGGCTGATGTAGCTTGTGCACAAAAGGGTTATGACAGCAGACTTTAGCCCTGGAGTGGGTTACATCACAGTAAAGAGGGCTCAGTATGTGGCAGTCAAGGCAACAATCACTGTATGAAAACATTTTAATTCTGGACGCTCTGTATATCACTGATACAGTGGACCCCCGCATAACGATTTTAATCCGTGCAAGAGGGGTAATTGTTATGCGAAATAATCGGTATGTGAATGAATTTTCCCCATAAGAAATAATGGAAATAAAATTAATCCGTGCAAGACACCCAAAAGTATGAAAAAAAAATTTTTACCACATGAAATATACATTTTCACTACACACAAGAGAAGGATACATGCACAATAGTAAGTAGTACATGCAGAGTATATATTGTGCATGTACTAGTCTACTAAATGAAGAATAAATGACACTTACCTTTATTGACGATGCAGCAATGACTGATGAGACACTGTGTCCTGGGAGTGCCTTTTCCTCCTGAGTAACTGTAGGTCCTGTTTGGCATTTTCTTCCAGAACAGGCCTTATCACACTGTGTATGCCACTACGATTCTTAAATCTCTCAAACCAACCTTTGCTGGCTTTAAATTCACCAATATGAGCACTAGTTCCAGGCATTTTTTCCCTGTTCACCTGGTGTTAGTCGACTTGTGTGGGTTGCATCCTGGGAGACAAGATTAAGGACCCCAATGGAAATAAATTAGACAGTCTTCGATGACACTGACTTTTTTTGGGTTATCCTGGTGGCAAATTCTCTGGGGTTAATTGTTTCTTGGTATACTCAATAAGCCACACCAACAACGGTGCTACAGCAGCAGCAGCAGCAGCAGCTGACGGTGGTACAGCAGCAACAGACGATGCTACAGCAGCAGCAGACGATGCTACAGCAGCAATCAGACGATGCTACAGCAGCAGCAGACGATGCTACAGCAGCAGCAGCAGCTGACGGTGGTACAGCAGCAACAGACGATGCTACAGCAGCAGCAGACGATGCTACAGCAGCAACAGACGATGTTACAGCAGCAGCAGACGATGCTACAGCAGCAGCAGCAGCAAACGATGCTACAGCAGCAGCAGACGATGCTACAGCAGCAGCAGCACTGACGGTGGTACAGCAGCAACAGACGATGCTACAGCAGCAGCAGACGATGCTACAGCAGCAACAGACGATGTTACAGCAGCAGCAGACGATGCTACAGCAGCAGCAGCAGCAGACGATGCTACAGCAGCAGCAGCAGCTGACAGTGCAGGAGCAGCAGCAGCTGTACCACCAATAGTAGCAATGGTTGATTGGGGTTTATTATACAACCTGGCCAGCTCGGAGACATGCACTCCACTTTCATACTTATCAATGATCTTTTTCTTCATCTCTATTGTAATTCTCACCCTTATTGCTGTAGGGTTGGCACTAGAAGCTTCTTGGGGGCCCATGGTCACTTATTTTCCAGAAAAAGCACCGAAAACACTGTAATAATACGAAATATTCCGATTGTATGCTTGGATGTTACCGCGGAGGCTGGCTGGTAAACAATGCCACCGGCGGAACATGTGAGCGTGGCTCAGGCCGCAAAAGGGACGCGTCTGGGCCCGAAAATGGGTTTGGGAGGGGGGGTTTTAAAAAAGGGGTATGTGAGGCAAAAAATTTTTGCGTTTTAAAAGCAAGCGGTATGCGGTTTAAATCGCTATGTTCCATCTTATGGGGGGTTTCCAAACCTTCCCTCGAGAAAAAGGTGCTAAAAGGGTTTTTAGTTTTGGGAAAGGAAAAAAGAAAATGATAACATATTATTAAAGAAAGCAGAATTTAGACATGCAGCCCTTTGGGACAGATAAAAGATCGATCTTTTTTCCGGGCTCACCCTGAATAGTGCAAGGAAAATTTCTATCCGGGTACACCTTTTTTTTAAAATTTTTGGGTTGTGAAAAAGGGGCCCATAAAAAACCACGGGGAAAGATGGGGCTTCAAAATTTTGGCAAAAGAAAAAAACATCGAAAGTGTATAATTTTTTTCTAAAAAATGTTTTTCCACAGGGAGCCCCTTGCCCCAAAATGATAAAAGACAAGAAAATTTTTCCCTGATAAAAGAATTCGGGAAGGAGGGAAGCATAAACAATAGTGATAAGTCACCCAAAAAAAAAGGGGAAACTTAAAAAACACAAGGGGAGCCCTTTTTGTGATTGTGACAGTAGACTGATAAGAGCAATAAAAAATATTTTCTGTACTCAACAGTTTTTTCAGTTCAGTTTTGGGACAATCAAAAGTTGCATGAACAAAACCCAAAACCCACAAAATTTTTCCTTGAAAAAATTTCGCCCCCCTTTGGGCACTTTAAACCCCTTTTCAGGGTCCGTGCCATAGATTCCCAGCTTTTATGTTGAGGGCCAAATTTTAGTTTCTTTTGCCAAAATTCTAGCGGCATAATTTTAAGGGGCAAAGGGGTGGTAAGGCCTAAAATCTGGGGAAAAACGGGTTTTCTGGTGTGTGCGCGAACCGTAAACAAACTTTTCTAGGGCCTCCCAGGGCCATTGGGGGAATGCCGCCCCCAGTAACCTTTGTTCCCCCATCCCTTTTGCCGAAAGGTAGTCCCCCACTCCGAGGCAAATTTGGGGAACAAAAACTCTTCCTAAATATAGTTCAAAACTCTGTTAAAGTGGAAAAAAAGAATTTTCAATGGATTTGTTTGGTTTTTGTGACCAAAAGAAAATCCCAAAGGTATTGAAAATAGTCCCGGGAAAATTTCCTGGGGACCTCAACCCTTTGTACCTCTGGTGTGGGCATTCCCCGGTACGTACATTTTGAAACCTCGTCGCAAGGAAACCCAATATTTTCACGTGGCCGGGCCCCTCAACAAACCCCTCTCATTCAGTTTGGTAACGAAGCTACGGGATGTTCCCCCAAAAACCCAAAGATAAAAAGGGGATCCCTATCCAAAACCACAAGGGAAAAATTCTTGGGAATTTCCCACTTTGATAATAGACTAAAAATTTAAAAACCCCTTTAAAAAAAAATTTCCCCAAAAAAAATTCCAAGCCCGTGGGAATACTATCAAAGAAAAAAGGAAACATGTTTCCCCCGGCCCAGCCCCCTGGCCCATATCACTCACTTATTTCCCCCTATCTCACCTAGGGAATTTTTGTGCATGGGCTCAAAAAACAAAAAAAACCATCTCAGACCACTAATACCCCCAACAAAATGGTGCAGTCAGAATGATACAAATTCCCACTACAGACAGAACACTCCCCCCAAATATTCAAAACTCAAAACCCTTCTCACAAAAAACAAAACACCCCATACTTTTACGCCCCTTTCTCCATACATAAAAACATTTAAACCTCTGAAAAAACCCCCTCCCCCCCCCCAAACATCCCCTTTTACCAACCTCAACAAAAACAAAACCTTTAAACCCCAAAAGGGGCACAGTTTAAACCTTTGATGTTCCTCTTTGCCCCCTCTTACGCTATGAAAAAAACTCAATGCACTTTAAAAGGGCCCAAAAAATCGGGAAATTTCCCTTACCTGTAAAATTATAAAAAAACCTCTCTGTTTAAAAAATTCCCCAATTTCCTTTTCCCTTAAAAAAATCACTTCCCTCACCCAAAAACAAAAATAAATACTGAATAATTGAATCTAAATTAAATTGTATTCAAAATTTTATCTAAAAAATGTAAAACCTGTGACCCAATAAAAATTTTTGGTTACTTTTTAAATTTCTTTAAAACCAAACAAAATATTTCCTTTCTAGGATTACACAGAAAAACAAAATTAAATGATCATATGACCTGCCCTTTTTTAAATACTCATTTGTCCCAAAATTGTTATCGGTTTTAAAAATTTTTTTTTTTTCCACTGAATATACTTTTTTTTTAAATTTAATCAAATTTAATTTTTAACCTTTCCCCAAAATGTCAGCTACAAGGGGTTTTGGATGCGAAATTTAAAAAAATTTTTTTGTATTCCTTGTACTTCTCTGTATAAAATTTTTTCAAATTAAAAAATTTAAAAAAATTTAAATATTTATGGGATGTGTTTTTGTTCCTTTTTATGATCATTCGGTAGTGATAGGGGAATCATTTTTCACAAGTAAAAGAATCAGTATATACACGCTTGCACGTCCCGGGAAAATGGGTGTTCCCTTGCTTTTCCCCAAAGGGGACAGAGTACATCCCGAGAAAAACCTAGGGCCCCTACACCGGGAATGGGACAGTGAAAAAGTGGGGAAAGATGTGGCTACCCCTTGGAAAACAGTTTTGGGAACCCAGGGCATAAAGCAGGTGGTGGTATTGGTGGTGGTAGTCCCAAAAAGGGCCCATAAATGCCCTTCACCAACCCGGGGCTGGGCCCCCACCCCCGGGTTTGACCCCTCAGCCCCAAGGACAAAGCGGAGCTTTCATCCCCACAACTACAACCACAACCGCTTATGATGCCCAAGTTCCTCGAAAACCCTTTTTTCCGGGGGATTGGCAGCAAAACCCCAAAATTTTTTTTCCCTTTGGGAAAAACACTGAAAATTGAACTGGAATTTTTTTCAACTTTTTCTTTGATCGGCCCTTAAAGGGAATTTATTGTGGGGGAAAGTAACAAGTTTTTTTGGTAAAACCAGGGAATTTTAAGGGATCGTATCACCAAAGTCAAGCCTAAAACCGGTGGAAAGAGAAAACTGGGGGCTGAATTGTATTTGCTTTTTTGAAACCCATAAGGGGGGTTATGCCTCATG